TAAATAAATAAACAGAAAAATCCTGGAGGAGAGGTGACAGTGAGTTTCTCCCTAGCCTGAGAAAAGGCTTTAGTCAATGTTGTGAAATTTTGTGCAAGCAGCAGTAAAAACCTTGTTTCTTCTGGCAGTGGGAAGTGAAGGGGTAATCCCATAAAGGAAAGAGTCAAAGAGTCAAATTCTGGGTTAAAAAACTGCCCAAATCTCAAAATCTGTATAGTGGTTCCTGTGACCTTTCGGCAGAACAGCAACTGGCATACACACATAGGGTGAAACTCCATAAGACCAAACAAACTTTACAGAAAGAGAAATTTTAAGTTTTTAAAAGTTCATAAAGCTTAACATTAGGCCGAGAATGTTTCAATTTCCAAACATCTAGAGCAGGAAGACCTTATTTAGCACACAGGGCATTCAGTGGAGGTCCCAGTGGGATTACATGCCTTAGTTAAACTAGCCCTAGAGTAACATTTACTCTAGAGCTAGAAAAGCTTAAAAACAGGCTCAAAAGGGATGAAACTGTTCTGTAAGTAACTTAACTGCTAAAACAAAGTCCAACACTTTAAAGATATATAACTAAATTCAGCATTCAACAAATGAAATCACAATGCCCATCATTCAACCAAAGATTACCAGGCATATGAAAAAGCAGGAAAATGCAAACCAAAACCAAAAGAAAAATTAAGTCAACAAGAAAAGACCTAGAAATTATAGAGATGATGGAGTTAACAGGCAAGAATGCTAAAACAACTACAACAGAACCTCCATAGTTGACCACCTGCCCACGTTGACCATCTCCTTGAGTTGACCCAACTTTCATAGACCAGACATGCATCACATGTACTAAGGCATAATTCCTTATGTTGACCATTTCTGTACATTGACTGGTGTGTTATAATCCCTTGGGTAGTCAACATACAGAGGTTCTACTATATTATAAATATGCTGAATATGCTCAAAGATTAAAAAAAAAACCTGAAGGGGCTTGGTGCCCATAGCACAGTGGTTATGGTGCCAGCAACATAACACCAAGGGTGGCAGGTTCGAACCCAGCCTGGGCCAGCTAAACAACTGCAACAAAAAATAGCTGGGTGTTGTGGCAGGCCCCTGTAGTCCCAGCTAATTGGAAGGCGAAGGCAAGAGAATCGCTTAAGCCCAAGAGTTTGAGGTTGCTGTGAGCTGTGACACCATGGCACTCTACTGAGGGTGACATAGTGAGACTCTGTCTCAAAAAAAAAAAAAATCTTGAAGGTAATGAATAAATGCAAGTTATACAGAAAGAACCGAAGGGGATTGGCAAAGATAAAAAATGTAATATCTGAAATAAAAATACTGCTAGATGAGATTAACAGTAGATTGAATAATGTAGAAGAAAATAGCACTAAACTGGAGGATATAACTAGAAACGATCACTGTAGACATAGTAACTGCATCCTTTCATCTGAACCTCAATTCAACTTAAATGTTTTTGATGGTAGTTACATGCTGATTCATCAAGGAGATTTCTAATTTGGGTGGGAAATTTGAGTAAAATAAAATATCTGTCCTAACAAATATTCACACAGTGAGTACAGATATATAGGTACACTGGGATCTTGTGTGGTTTACTGGTTCCCAACCAGTGTTTGTTTCTTGGCACTGAAATACATGTGGCTCAGAGTTCAATCTCTCCCAAGAGACTACTGATCCATAACCTAAGGCAGCAGGAAGCTCAATTCCAAGCTAAAAACTAAAATTCTGGGCAGGTAGTAGAGCAGCATTTTCAGACTCATAGCCTTAATTAGAAGTCCAGTTCCTGCTCCCCAAATGGAACATTCACCTAGACACCTACATTCTCATAAAGGCTAACACTCTAGCCCCTGAAGCTTTTATCTGGGCCATTATCTCCCCTTGACACAGAGATGAGGAGAAGTGTGTAGGGAGAAGACATCTCAAATTTTGCTATTATAATGGGTCCTCTCTTCATTTTTGGTATCTGGTGAATTCCTCTTCTTACATTTGAACTTAGCTTATATGTCTTTGAACTTAAAGACATATATAGATATGTCTTTAATGTTAAATATTTTATGCAACATTTCTAAAGTTTTGGAGAGAAAAGAGGAATTCCTATATCTGTTCAGTTTTTCATTTCTTTTTTTGAGACAGAGTCTCATTATGTTGCCCTTGGTAGAGTGCTGTGGCTCACAGCTCACAGCAACCTCTAACTCTTGGGCTTAAGCAATTTTCTTGCCTCAGTCTCCCAAATAGCTGGGACTACAGGCACCTGACAAAACGCCTGGTTTTTTTTTTCTGTTGTTGCAGTTGTCATTGTTTAGCAGACCCAGGCCGGGTTTGAACCCAACAGCCTCCGTGTTTGTGGCTGGTGCCCTAACTGCTGAGCTACGGGCACTGAGCCCAGTTTGTCTTCTTGGGTGGAAGTTCTAGAGACAACTTTTGTAATAATTAAATAACCAATAAGAGTATTATCAAGAGAGAATAAAAGCAGCAGCAAGAGTCAAAGAAGCCTGTCTCCATGTTCCAATTAATTCTGAGAAGAAAAGTGATCCCAATTTTATTTTAAGAATATTAGCAGGAGGCTCAGCATCTGTACACAGTGGTTAGGGCGCCGGCCACATACACCCAGGCTGGTGGATTCAAACCCAGCCTGAGCCAGCTAAACAACAACAATAACTACAACAACAAAAAATGACTGGGTGTTGTGGCAGGCACTTGTAGTCCCAGCTACTTGGGAGGCTGAGGCAAGAGACTCACTTAAGCCCAAGAGTTTGAGGTTGCTGTGAGCTGTGATACCAAAGCACTCTACTGAGGGTGACATAAGGAGACTCTGTCTCAAAAAAAAAAAAAGAAAAGAAAAGAATATTAACAGGAGATTTGTTCAAAAAGGTTCTGAGAATTGAGAATCTGAACTTGACCTTAAAAAGAATCATTACTGAATGGGCATAGTGGCTCACGCCTATAATATTAACACTCTGAGAGGCTGAGATGGTTGGATTGCTTGAACTTAGGAGTTCGAGACCAGCCTGAGCAAGAGTGAGACCCTGTCTCTAAAAATAGCTGGGCATTATGGTGGGATCTCTAATCCCAGCTACTTGGGAAGCTGAGGTAAGAGGATCAGTTGGGCCTAAGACTTTGAGGTTACTATGAGCTGTGATGCCATAGCACTCTACTGAGGGCAACACAGTGAGATTCTATCTCAATAAATAAATAAAAAAGCTCTTTCTGCTGCCATCTTGGTTCCGCGTTCCCTGCACAACATGCCTGGTGAAGCCACAGAAACCGTCCCTGCTACGGAGCAGGAGCTGCCACAGCCTCAGGCTGAAACAGGGTCTGGAACAGAATCTGACAGTAATGAATCAGTACAGAGCTAGAGGAACAAGATTCCACACAGGCAACCACACAGCAAGCGCAGCTGGCAGCGGCAGCTGAAATCTATGAAGAACCAGTCAGTAAAGCAAAACAGTCAGAATGAAAAGAAGGCACGGAAGACTATGTCCAAACTGGGTCTTCGACAAGTTACAGGGGTTACTAGAGTCACTATCTGGAAATCTAAGAACATCCTCTTTGTCATCACAAAACCAGATGTCTATAAGAGCCCAGCTTCAGATACCTATATAGTTTTTGGTGAAGCCAAGATCGAGGATTTATCTCAGCAGGCACAGCCAGCAGCTGCTGAGAAATTCAAAGTTCAAGGTGAAGCGGTATCAAACATTCAAGAAAACACACAGACTCCAACTGTACAAGAAGAGAATGAGGAGGAAGAGGCTGATGAGACAGGTGTGGAAGTTAAGGACATAGAATTGGTCATGTCACAAGCAAACTTGTCCAGAGCAAAGGCAGTCCGAGCTCTGAAGAACAACAGTAATGATATTGTAAATGCTATTATGGAAATAACAATGTAACCATCAAAAAAATGAGGACTTTTTTGGTGTTTCAAAAGAGTAACTGCAGTTTGGTTTGAAATTTGTACTGTTTCTATCATTAATAAAGTTCTGGCTTCTTGTTGGATGAATTAAAAAATAAATAAATAAAAAAGAATCATTACCCTCTCACAATTGTATAATACATCACTTACCTCAAGAAATAGCTTATGATAAATATCACTATAAATAGCACAGTATTTCCAGTTTTAATAAAACTGTATGTTTACTAAGTATAATTCCTTAAAACAAATTTTATCATTCCCACATTATATCTACATAAAATGTAATCTGTCTTCTGATATTATTTAAATGATAAAATTACCTGTGTGTTTATTGAGAAGCTTGTAGCCCTCACAGTATCTTCCTGATGAAGTCATCATCTTGGCTGTGTCAAGGTAAGAGTATGTTGCAGCAAAATCAAACTCTTTTTTACCATCCCACCAACCTTTCTGTTTAGCATAGTTTCTCATGTCTGGGTGTTCCCGATCAATCTTGGTTGTTATAGAAAGCTGATTCGAAATATTACGAACTCCCTCTGTTTTCAAAGAAAAGTGAAGAAAGAGGAAAAGTCATATTTAACATAAAGTACCTGTCTGTAATTGTGATAATCATATTTAAATGTAAATATAAACTATGTGCAGCTATTACATATTCAAAAAGTAAATTACTTTTTAAAATCAAACTTTTTTTTTTTTTTTTGAGACGGAGCCTCAAGCTATCCCCCTGGGTAGAGTGCCATGGCATCAAGCTCACAGCAACCTCCAACTCCTGGGCTCAAGCGAGTCTCCTGCCTCAGCCTCCCAAGTAGCTGGGACTACAGGCGCCCGCCACAACGCCTGGCCATTTTTTGGTTGTAGCCATAATTGTTGTTTGGCGGGTCCGGGCTGGGGATTCGAACCCGCCACCTTGGGTGTATGTGGCTGGCGCCTTAGCCGCTTGAGCCACAGGCGCCGAGCCAAAAAATCAAACTTTTTGAGATAATTGTAGAGTCACACACAATTATAAAAAACAACAGAGCATATCCTTTATTTCCTTTCTCCCAATTGTAACATCTTGCAAAACTACAGTGTAATATCATGACTAGAATACTAGTATTGAAACAGTCAAGCTGAAGAACACTTTCATTGCCACAAAGATCCTTCATGTTGCCCTTTTATAGCCACACCCGCTTATCTTCTACCCCCAATCCTTCATTAATCCTAGGTAACCACTATTCTGTTCTCCACTTCCTTCTTTCTTTCTTTCTTTCTTTTTTATTTTATTAAGACAGAGTCTCACTTTGTTGCCTTCGGTAGAGTGCCATGGCATCATAGCTCACAGCAATCTCAAACTCTTGGGCTTAAGCTATTCTCTTGCCTCAGCCTCCCAAATAGCTGGGACTACAGGCACTGGCCTCAAGGCCAGGCTATTTTTTGTTTGTTTGTTTTAGCAGGCCCAGGCTGGGTTCGAATCCACCAGCCCTGGCAGCCCTGGTGACTGTGGCCAGTGCCTTGCCCACTGAGCACTGCCTGTTCTCCATTTCTATTAAATGTCATTTCAAGGATGTTATATAAATGCAACAGTACAATATGTAAACTTGTGGCTATTTTTTACTCAGCACAACTCTCTGAGGATTCATCTAGGTTACTGTATATATTAACAGTTCATTCCTTTTTAGTGCTGAGTAGTATTCCAAGATATGAATATATTATAAAGTTTGCTTAATCATTCCCAAGTTAAAGGATATGTGAATTGTTTTCTTTTTTTGGCTACCATGGGAAAGATGGTGGAACCTAAATATTTGTGGATGAATTCTTGCATAAATACATGTCAGTTTTTTTTATTTCTCTGCAATAAGCATAATACATGTTGCTAGATCATACAGTAATTGCAGTTTTTATTTATTTTATGTATTTTATTTTTTTAAGAGACAGAGTCTCACTTTATCACCCTTGGTAGAGTGCTGTGGAATCACAGCTCACAGCAACCTCCAACTCCTGGGCTTAGGCAATTCTCTTGCCTCAGTCTCCCGAGCAGCTGGGACTACAGGCACCCACCACAAGTTGGCCCAGCTATTTTTTTGTTGCAGTTTGGCTGGGGCTGGGTTTGAACCCGCCACCCTCGGTATATGGGGCTGGCACTTTACCCACTGAGCCACAGGCACTGCCCTATTTTTATTTTTTTATTTTTTTGAGATAGAGTCTCAAGCTGTCACCCTGGGTAGAGTGCTGTGGCATCA